CTGGATGCCACGGGAGCAGCGGTGGATCCAGTTGCCATGGGAGCAGAGGATCTGGATGCCACAGGAGCAGCAGTGGATCTGGATGCCACGGGAGCAGCAGGGGATCCAGTTGCCACGGGAGCAGAGGATCCACATGCCACGGGAGCGGTGGTGGATCTGGATGCCACGGGAGCAGTGGGGGATCCTGCCATGGAAAGCCACAGGATTGCCAACAGCAAATTTATCAAGTATCCTCAAAGATGAAGTGAACAGGACATTATCTGCATGTTATACATATGCATGTCCTTGATCTTGTGCTGAGTTCAGAAAGCTTTGCATGTCTCCTAGCAATTTTCAAAGAAAATGTCTTCTCTCTCTCCCCTGGCAAGTTCTGTACCTCTGAGGAGCTTATCTGTGGGTGCTAAAATAAACTGTGTACGTTCACGCTGGCGCGGTTTTCTCTGTATCAGTCTGTGACTATATATGAGCCATTACAATTCGGAGTTCATGAGAGATTTTTGTTCATGATTTTTCTTTCACCTTATATTTCATATCACAATACAAGACACCTTGTGCTTGTTTCAATAGCCCTGAAGTTACCCTGCCCGGACACAGGCAATGGGGGTAGGTGCTGCCACACTCTCCCTTATGGACTCCAAAGGAAAAGAGAGACAATAAAGATTTTTAAAAGCTGACATTTTAGGATGCCATCTCAGGCCTCTGCAGTGCAGGCAGCTCTCCTCCATGCTGCCTTCCCACAGAGCTGGAGACCCAAAACCCCCCACCAAGACCACATGGGCTGCATTGCACAAGCCCTCAGGGCCAGCTATGGGCACAACCATGGGGCAGAAAAAGTCCTATAGGCAAAGGCAACCCGTGATGGGGCAGAAACCCCTTTTTTTGCCGTCTGGCCCCAAGGCGCCCTCCTTGGGGCAGGTATCTCCTCATGCGTGCGACAAACCCCCCAGCAGGCCTTTCTAGAAACCCTCTGCCCAGCACTTCAAGAGCCCTGTGTCGAGCCAGGGGCGTTGCAAGATGCTAGCGTTACACAATGAACTGATAAATTTCTTCTCGGTTCGTAATTAAAATGAATTGTGTAATTTATTGGTCTGGTTATTGCCATTCATGAAATGGATGTTGCCCTGATAAGATTGTTCTCGAGTGTGTCATGATGATCAGAAATATCTGGCATTGCTGAAAAGGGTGCAGACAGCAGCTGAACTCCCTGAACAGGCTGCCTGCTTTCGGTGTAGGAATCATTTGAAAAGGCTGGTTGTGCGAGTCTGGCATTTGCATTAAGCCCCCATTGCAAACCCCATTTTGAAGGCATGTTAAGGTGGACAGCCACAAAATCTAAAGGTGCCCAGGACTGCTGGCTGGGTGCTGCTGATCTTTAACAAACTCAGAACAATTAAAAAGTAAGGAACCGAATACAGCGCAATGTTGAGAGCCAAAAATTGCTTTGAGTCTTTTTTCATGGAGAGTATTTACCATATTTTTCCTGATGCCAGAACAAAACACAATTAAACAGAAATGATCAAACCTGGGTACAGTTTGCCCTGACACTCTTCTAGTTCATAATAGCAATTAAGCAATACAAAAGAAGCATTTAGGTTGCGTGTGTGATTCATTAACCCTGCCCTGTCTGCCCGCCTTTCCAAAAATCCTTCGTGTTTCGGTAACAGCAAACGTGTCGGATGTCTTTCGGGTTGCAGGAACCGCTCAGGACTTGCAATCCCTTAACGAAGGTTTGGGCACCTGCATTCAAAGCGGGAGCTCACAAGAGGCTGGAGAGGCACCTCGGTGCCTGGCAGCTTGTTTAGTTTTCCAGCCACTTCCCAAAGGATGCCAGGTCTCTCAAACAACATTCGCAAAGGCGGGATGGGGCTGAGCCTTCATCTCACTGTGGTCAGCATCTGGGAATAGCATAAAAACTTAATCAGCATGGAGAAAGAGAAATAAAAGGCAGGAGAGGTGGACCATAAATACCAAATGCTTGAGCATCTCTGCGGGCAAGTGAAATATTTTTCAGCCAGTGTTTTCCAAGCATTTTTGCACTGACAAAATCATAGCAGTTCCCTATTTCAGCTAGCAATACTGATTTCAGTCTTTTATTTGCTGCCTGTTTAATTACTGAAATGTCTTCCACAAGTAGTGGCAGAAAAGGGTAAAACAAGATCCGTGGTCCTAAGCACTTCCTAGCCCACGCAGCAGAGGTACAGGAAAGGTACAGGAAGTATCTCAAATTATTGCTTGCGATTAGCTCTCACTGCAAACATGGTACCTGGCCTGGCCTGAAGGCTCGTGTGGGTCTGTGTATCCGTCTGAGTAACACTCAGATTTGTTGGCCAGTTACGAGCTAATTGGGGAGCAGGGAAAAGTGCTCAAAAAAGGATGTTCCTACAAGTTTGGAGAAAGTCCCCGGGGTCTGCCAGGTCCCCGCAACGTGGCATCCACCCCAGGCCACCGTGCGTCACCAAAGGCAGCACCCATGGGAGCCCGTCTCCTCCACGTGGCAGCACCGAAGCCGCTCACAACCTGGAAAAAAACCACCAGTGCTGCCACTCCGGCATTACTCACGGGCTGAAAATTAACCACATAATTATGTACCTCGCTAATCCTGGATCACTACGTTGGGCAGGTCTTCCCCCTTCCAAAAATAAGAATCCCAACTGCTTGTGGTCCTTCTCGCAACAGCAGGAAACTTTTGACCAATAAAAAGGTTTTATAGGGGCTGTCTTTTCTCTCTCTTCACCACTCCGCCGTATTTCTGCTAGTTTTAAGATAAATGAGCCAACAGTGGTACCAGTCAAATTGCTGCTAAGGAAGAGTTGTCTACCATGCCAAAGGCGTTATTGGTACTTATAGACACATCTCCGGGTTTATGGGCATTTGCAGGACTAGAGCACCTCAAGACGTTTTAAAAGGATGGTGTGATTTAGGTATATGACATAATTCCCCCCTCCAAAACGCAAAGCGCTCCCCAGCTGTGATCAACACCAAAAGCAAACTGACAAAGCTATGGAAACCAGGGCCACCCACACTACTCCCCTGTTGGAGCTAAGCATGGGTAGAGCTGGCAATTAAATATTTCTGTGGCACAGGAAAGACGACCGATAACAAGAGGCAATACGCGGTGCAGATGAGGTGAGTCACGCAAGCAACCTGAAGAGTAGGGAGGCAAAAAAAAAAAAAAAAAGCCATCGACGAATTAAACGAACAGGCAGACCTCTGCAACAGGGAGGTGCTTGATTTCCAGATGGGGTGCGCAGAGAGGGTATAAAAGCACTCCTGTCCCGGAAAGCCTCATTCCCTCCTTGCCCCTTCGCTGCACGAGCATCTCGGGTAAGTGCGGCGATGCTGCGGGGCTTTGGGGCTGGGCGCAGCATTTGAACCTCACTGGGAGGCAGATGGGTTTGGAGTGGGCTGAGCCCAGCGCCTTGTACTGGGTTGGGGCTTGCTCTGCGGGTGCTTGTGAGCAGGGAGGTGGGGTGAGGAGGGTGCGCAGGGCATGCCGAAAGAGAGCAGAGAGATTTGGACTTGGAGGGAGACTCTGAGGCATTGCTCTCCTCCCTCCGGGAGCAAGATGGCTTTGGAAAGCCAGCCGTGGTCAGCCTGCCCAGCTGCTCTGGATGCTCCCAGCGTCTTTGGCTATAGCTGTGGTGGGACAATCGCATGGGTAGTATAAGAAGCTGGTGCAAGGTTTAAAGATGATTGTGGGATCTGGCTAAGACTGGATAAATGTACATCCAGATTTCTCTTCCCTGAAGAGCAGAAGCAGGAAAAGAAATTCCCTGACAGCTCCTCTCTCCCCGCAGGTCACCCCAAAATACAACGATGTGCTCCCGCCAGGAGAAGGACCAGTGCCACAAGCAGGAGCGCTACACCCGCCAGAGCAGCGGCGGCGGCCCA